TCTGCTCCATTAGATTTACTGCAGGAAAAGTCTGGTTTGCTGCAGTAGGTCCCAACATCAGGAGCGACCATGGTGAGCAAACCAAGAGAGGAGGCAGAGACGTCCTGCTGTTGATGTCTCAGCAGCCCTCACATCCCCACATCACGGAATTGCCAGAGATCCCATCAGAGCTGAGTCAAACTCAGGCCCACGGGTGCAGAGCGAGGCACTGAGTGCGTGCTCACATCCCTGATGGATCAGAAAAGGACTCTGCTTTTATAAGTTCACACTTTCCCCCACACACAGACACCCCCAGACGACCTGCACTTCCAGAGGCAAATTAAATTCTCATGGTTTTGCCTTTAAAAGAAACCATTACTTCCTGAAGCATGGAGCTGTTTAAGGAGGCAGAGCATCACCTGCCAGAATCCAGAGCACTGCTATCCTGCAGGCTGGAGCTCACCCCATCTTCCAGGGGGGCTGAAATTCCAATACCTAAAGAGCTTCTGAGAAGGTGAATGGGGAATGAACTCTCAAAAAAAAAAATTTAAGAAATACTTCATTTCTGAAAGTGCCTTTTGATCATTAAAACCTTTGGTTTTAACCACTCTGGTGTCTCCTGCCAAGTGTGGTTTACTGATGACACATCATCATGGCACCAGGAATGGACTTGTTGATAAGTTAAATAATGGGACTACTTTCAGACCATTTTTATAGCTGAAAATTCTCATGGCATAAAAGAGTCATCATACAGTTATTTCACTGTGGAAAACTGTTATTTTTCTTAGAATAACTTTGAACTCTGTAACTTTTTGGGAAGGGGGTTGTTTTTCAAATAAAACCCTGCTTCCTTTCTTCCCCAAAAAACTCAGCTTGTATTAGCTGGAACGATACCAAATCCACTAAGATATGTATTCAGACAGATTGTAAATTTAGCTAGAGCATTTATATGTTACTAAATCCAAACAAAGATCTAAAGCAAGATGCAAAACATGACACACGCACAAAAAAAAGTTCAAAATATATGGAATGGGATTTTTAAAGCTGAGCAAGGGACTCAGCCACACAAGTTTGAAAGAAATTGATTAATTATGTGGTTGATAACCTTGGTTTATATGCCATGTTAAATCCTGGTATAACTTCATTGTTTTCAGTGGAGCTGCTCTGCAAATGTGTTTGACAGATAGTCATGATTCTTCTCCAAGAATAACTTCTGAGGCAGAAATTTTAAAACATGAGTGAATGAAAGTCCTGTGCCAAGTCCTACCCTAATTTATGCCATGTACAAAACAGCTGAGTTGGAAGTGAGGGTGTCAGGAAAGGCAGAAGGAGACATGAGTCTGTTCTTCCTCAGCTGGGACGTTACATCAATTCCCCTTGGTGATGGTCATGTCTCCAAACAACACAGCAGGAATCCACAACGCAGCTTGTGGGAGATTCTTTCCTTCCAAGCCTGCAAGTTCTTGTATTTCACAAGCTCTAAGTGTTCAGGGAAGAGCCTGGACTAGTCTCAGTGGAGAGCCATGAAATTCACTCCTATTAACTACTGCATCGATCTGAGCCTGGGCTGCTTCAAAATGAATTTGAGGATGAGCACTGGAAATGGCCATTTTAATATGAATATTGGAATTAGTCACTTAATTTAATCAGAAAATAATGTGTTTCAGACAGGCTCGGTCTCAATGTTATTTTGAATCAAAACCCAGCATTTGGATTGGTTTTCTTTAGTCTGCTGGGTTATTTTGGGCTCATTATCAGCATTAAGCATGTCTAAGTAAAACTGACTGGTTCAACAATACACACACCTTTGCTCAGGTGAGAGGGAAGTAATGCCCATCTCAAATCATCTTTTATGCAGCATTACTAAGGGCATGAGGGGGATTTCATTATTTTTCCCAAAGCATCATTTAAGCCAGCAGCAGACTGCTCCAGCTCTAAGCCTAGCGAATTGCTAATGTCCTCACTCCTGATTCTCTGCTGGCAGAGCTATTTTACAGCAAAGTGATGTAATCTGGCAGTGAGTGAGCTCAACATAAACAGCATGGCTCCAGCAATACCCCTGCTCCAGGGGATCATTGCTGGGGCAGGAGGCACCAGCCAGCAAGTTGGTCTCCAGACTGACAGCCCAAGCACTTGGATGCCCTTCCCAGCTCTTCCCTCATTGTCTATTTTCAGTCAAATCAGGCAGCAAAGTCTCTCATACATTGCTTTAATACCCCACTGGATGTCAGAGGCCCATCTGCTGAGCACCCCTAATGAGGCAAAAGTGAAGACATTTCCCATCCAACAGGGTCTGCAACACTTAGAACAGGCTCTGGATCTGGATAGAGAGCCTCTCACGCTCCCCATCTGCGAAATGCAGCTAGCTGCTAATCTTCAGCCTCATAAAAATGTGTGGAAGTGAAAAGCTTTATAGGATGTGCTGTGACCACTGCCATGACAGAGAGCAGCAGCATTTTTGAAGGAATTTGACTGGGTCAGAAGCAGGGAGGCTGAGCAGAGCCAGCCTTGGAGGAGCAGCAGTCCTGCACAGCCCCAAGATGCCCCAAAACAGACACAGAGCACATGGTTCTGGAGCTGGTTGTTCCTCACTCACTGGGGTTGTGATAAGGGGGTATTTTCTTCCCTTCACTGGGCCTAAGGAAAAGGAAAGTATATATAAAAATACTTTATTGGCAGAAGTGCCTAGCAAGTGGCTCGCTGTGCTTTGTGTGCTCACCTCTGTGGTCTGACTGCACAGAGGCTGATTGCCATCTGACTGTGCATGGCAGCCACCTCCCACCCTTCTTTCTTTAGTTCTGCACCCTCCTAAACATATCATTATTTATATATTTGCAAGTGCTGGAGATAAATACAGCCTAGCCTCCCCCTTCTCAGCAGAGCTGACACCTGTGATCTCTAATTCTTCACCTCTGCAGCACTGCACTCCTGCACCATTTCATCCTGTGTGCACAACTGGGGGTTATGTACCCTGGGGTTTTATGTAACCTGGGTTTCTCCTCCCAGGCTCATCTCAGCGCCTCCAGCCCAGTTCTTCTTCTACTTCTTATGGCTTGGCCCCTTCTAATCTCTCACATTTGGGCACCTCCAAAATCAGCTCTTCTCCCTCTTCCCCTTCAGAGCTCTCTCTGTGACCTTAGTCATGCTTGACAGACTTCCAGTCCCTTCCATCATTTCTACTCCTCTCTGTAGCAATTTCCATTTATTACAAGTACAAGGTTATCATAAAATATGGGGAACAATTTTAAGTATAAAAACCATTGGACAGGTTTTTTCTACCTTTACTCTTTCTTCATTAGCTTCTCCAGGTCCAGGCACAGGCTCAGGCTCTGCCACACAGGTAGCTCATCACTGCTTCTCCTTCAGAGTATGGCTGTGAAAGCATTTTTTAATTCTTTAAAATTTATAAATAAATTTTTAAAATCTGTTTGATTTTTTTAAATCTGTTTTAACTCATTTTAAATCTGTTCAAATTCTCAAAATCTGTTTTTAAATCTGTTCTTGACAAAGAAGCAAGTAAGAGAGAATCTATTACTAGCAATTAGAGAAGAATCATGACCAAACTTTCAAAACAACAAAGTGTTTGAACTATTCCAGCTATGATAAAAGTTGCAGGAAAAAAGTCCTGGTGCAACATCACCATGGATGGGAAATTAGCTACAAAGAGGTCATCTTGTTTTGTTATGGAATTCAAGTTAAGGACCATGACTTTAAAAGTTACTTTGACTAAGAATTGCCATGTCTACTCTGAGGAACAAGGACAGCATTTCAGCAAAGCCTAAGCAATAAAAAAATTAAAAAAAAAAAAAAGAAAAAATAAATCAAAGTAGAATTTCCTAAGGAAAATAGAAACTTAAATTAACACCAAATAGAAACTTAAAATAACTTCAAATTGCTTCTTGTGTGGTGATCTCATTTCCTTAGGATCAGCTTCTTATTAGCCCTCCAAGTATGAGGAGGTATATTAATCTTCTTAAAACTAATAATCTGATTGCCTGATTAAGGAAATCTTGGTTCATTATATTTATTCTGCAGACTCTTGCCTTATCCTACTGTTGGGCATAGAAGTCTGGGATGGAGAGCATTCTCCTGGCTTCAGTTTTGAAAAGGATCAGAACGGGGTTTTATTGTCCACCTTCAACCAAAAGATGGGACAATCATATGAATCTGATGACAATGAAAAGTTTTCCTGTAGCTATAATTGCTGCACTCATAGCTTGTGATATCTCTGGCTTCATTTGCAGAAAGGATTTTGGATGGTTTGCAGGGGTAAATGATTCATTTGCATCGCTAGAAATTCAAAGCACTGCTTGGTTTGAAATTCAAGAATAATCAAAGTCTATATAAGTTGTTTTTAAACGGTTTGGAGGGATAGAAAAATTTAAATACAAGAACATAAGTAGCAAGATCTTATCCTATAAGCTGAAACGAAGAACTACCTGTCCACTGCTCCAAAATCTAAACCATTTTTTTCTATTTCTGCAAATTGATTAATAACGTGTCTTGACCATTGGTTTGAAATATTTAATCTGTTTTCTTCAAGCAGGCAAAATGTGGAAATTAAACTGTTACAAGGAAGGCATGCCAAAACAGAGAAGGAAGCTATTTAGCCAGTTATTTCTGCCTTACAAGGTTTACAATCCAAAGGCAACTTTTCAGGAATAAAATTATTTTGATCAACCCCTCATTTTGAAGTGTCAAAGCTGGCTCCAAAGCTGCCAACACTCTCCCCGCTGGTTATAGGATACCTAAAGCATCCCACGAAGTTGCTTTAATGCTGCAAAAAGTTTTTTGGTTTGTTTGTTTTGATTTGTTCTGTTGCCCCCATCCAAAAGTGCGAAGTGGGCCACAAACAGTGACAAGTTCTCGAGTGCCCCAATAACCAACCCTGACTCCTGCTCGCAGCTCAGGGGAGCTGCTACCTGTCCACTCACACAGAAAACTTTGCTGGCAAAGCTTTAAAAACAATCTGTTGAGTCGATGCCTTGTCCTTCTGACCCGAAATCTCTTTGTCCCTGCAGCTCTCGTGGTGCGCTTCCTGACCAAGCGGTTCATCTGGGAGTACGACCCAACGCTAGGTAGGTGGTTTGTCCTGGAAGCCTGCTCTGGAATAATGGCATGGCTGAAGCAATGGAATCACAGAGTTAAGATTCCAAGCCTCAGTCAGCCTCTGAATCTGCTGCAAAAAAGCTTCTCTGTGGTCATTTTAAGCTGGAACAAATTGTTGCCTAAGATGGTAGAAGAGAGAAGGAGCAGCAGCAGACAAAGGCTGAGTTAGTGTGTGAGGCACAGTTCTGCCCACTCAGAATTCCAGGGGAATTCTGCCTTTGAAACAAACCGCTTCAGCATTAAACTCTTCAAATCATTTAGTGTGAGATCAGTCTTCCCCTTTTGAATAACCCAAATGTCTTCTGCTGGAGAGTGAGATGACTGAGGTACAGATCTGTGCTCTGGGATAGAGATGTTAAAAATTCATGGCAAAAAGAAGGTTTTTACAGCCAGCCTACCTAGACTTAGGTAATTTTTTGGTCCTCATTTTCAAACATATATTATCTCTTAGTTTTTGGGTGACCAGATAGGGGCACCAATCAACTAAAGGGCATCCACATGTCCCTTCCACTGCTCCCACTTAGCTCTGTTGGGTCTGGCATTTTCAATAAGCTGGCTCAGATATCTAAAAAAACCTGTTGAACAGTTCTCCTGAATTAGAGGCTTCACTTAAAATTTGTGCCAAGGTCAATTTTCTTAGTGTTTCTTAAATTAGCATATATTTAAATGCTCTGCAAATCCAGGCCAAGAAGTCCAAGAAAAGGCATTAACTTCTTAGAAGGTGCCTTCAGTACCTCAGGACTAAATAATTCACACATAAAGGCTGGAAAATTCTCTTTTCTCCAACAATGTGTTTCCCTCTCCTTCCTAATGTTTCTTTGCAGGCTCCAACACAGATCATACAGTTAAATACCAATTTCTTTATTAATGTTCTTTCCTTAAGAGGTTTCATTAAGGAAATAGAAAATGCCATAAAACTGCACAGCAGAAATGAAGTTTAATATATTCTATTACAGAACCCAGGCAGCCCTTTGTAAAAAGCAAGTATCCAGGATTTTTGTTTGGCAAAATGGAGAGATAACAGATATCAAAATTCCCATCTTGGGAAAATAAACCTGGGCAAAACCTGAACTCAAATGCATTCTTTTATCTGCTCCTATCAATGTAGTCCTCAGTGAATTACATGTCAGCTGCCTTGTGCTGCACAGTGGAATGTTCAACAGAATGTTCTTTTGGTATTGTTGGTGTTAGTACTTTACGTTTCTAGCACTAGTACATCATTCTAAGAACTTGACAAGAGGTTTATAAAGCCTTCTCTGTCAGTGTAGTCCAAGTTCATCAATTTCTTACAGGGCCACTGCTTGCAAAAGAATCCTTTTTGCCTTGTTTAAGCACACAAATGAAGTTATTAGCAAGCTACAAGGTTTATTATTATTTGCCCCATTATGAGGGCCCCATGCCCTTTTTGCTCTACAAGGCTTGACATTTGTTTCTGTTTTACAAATGAATACAATTGCAAATTACTGTGCCCCTCAGGAATCTAATTGTCTTCTCTTTGCAGCAAGGAAAGCTTTCGTGCAGGCAGCAATAAACTAAAAAATTAAATCTCTTCTGACTTACTGAATTCTACATCACCATTCAGTCTAGAGAATAATAGCTTAAATTATGTATTATAGTCATTGTGATGCTCAGCTCGCTAGGTTGCTCCGAGGAAAAGGTTTGAGAAATTCAAAAGCTAATAAACTATTGTCAAGGAGCTATTTCTTAATCACAGAAATCTCTAGTGGAAGCTGCTCACCAAGAGATTGTTTTGTAAACTATTATTTTATCGAACTACAGATCACAATGGGATTCAAAAATGGTCCTGAGGTGTTAGAGATGACAAATAATCTTGAAATTGTAACCACTATTTAAGCCTTCAGAGATCAATGAGAAAGAGACTGTACCTTGAAAAGCTTTCAAAACCAGTGCCTGAAAAAATGCATTTCAGTCTCTTAGCATTGTCATCCTGCAGTGATTTGGTGTCCAGTTGCCTGTAAACATCTGAATTCACTGAGAAGTTTCAGCAGAATAGATTCATTTCTTCTCAGCAGTCATGGGCTGGCAGTTCTGTGGAAAGAGGGATATCATGCTCAATCAGTATGAAAAATTAAAGTTGTGTCAGTGAGGATAATTTCCTCAACTGGGAGAAATAAGCAGCTTTGTCAAGTTATTCTAAAAGGACAGGAGTGAAACAGATGCAAACCATCCAGCTACTAAGCAACGGGAGCTTTTGCCAAAAATCACTGGGGCTGAGACAAAAACATCAAATTTATAGTTTATTTCTTATGTCAAGTTTTCAACCACCCATTAGCCCTCTGATGCAAGCAATCCCCAGACAGTTCCTATTTTAAGGAAAGCTTTCACCAAGCTGTTCAAGGCCTGATGGAAATTCAACATTAACCTAAACTAAGCATCGTGTTTAAAAAAAAAACCCAACTATTCCTCTTTTTATTCAAGGGTGGCACATTTTAACTGGAAGGGAAAAAACACACCTTATAAATATTCCTTACAATTCTAACCTGCCAGAAGAAAATGAAGGGCCATATTTTTAGCAGCACCTGGATGGAATGCTGTACCACCAGGAGCCAAATTACCAACCACAAAATAACATTTTCTGGCAGGAGGAACATCACTGAGCCCTGCAAGCTTTGGAAAACAAAGCTGCTGCTGAAGTCAGGGCTCTGCAGCTCTGCCACTTTTGTGCAGATGTTGGATCTGTGCAACCACTGGCAGGACAGCTGCATCTTCACCAAAAGTACATCTCACTCTCTGCTTTTTATTTAACTGTTCTCAGCCAAAGGGCAACAACCTCAGCAAAGGTCATTTTCTGGGGAGTGTTAACCACCAGCCTTGACTTCTCCAATATTTCTGTTTAACTGGCAACTCACTGTCACCATCTTGGCATGGGGATTTTGTTTGCTTTTCCAAAAGGTGTTAAATTCCTCAAGGTAAATTCCTACTTGGCATTATTAAGGTGAATGGGTTTCCACATCCATCTTCATTTAGAGAAAATTGCAGATATCTCACATTTTCAACAGAATTAGATGAAAGAGCTCTATGCAGAAATGGGCTGGAACAGCACATTTTAAAGAATACATACAGTTGTTTTCTAAAATATTAAATACATAAAGAATTCAGCATTAAACTAGTCTTCTTTAACTAGTTAAATAGACACTGAGAAAGGGGATTCAGTTCCCACATGGATTTCACCAAAATTCATTAATGTTTACATGTTTTTAAATAGAACAAAACTTGAAAAACATATCAACAACCTCAGTGTGATGTTAGAAAGCCTCAGAATGTTTGGCCTGGGTAGGGACCAGTGAAGTCACACTCTTGTCATGAATGTGGGACTCTCATGGGCCTTAATGACCCCAGGGCTTGACCCCATAATTTGCAGGGATTTCAGCAGGGAATAGCTGCTCTCCCCAGTCCCAGTAAATTGTAATAACAATTTTTGAGTCTGCATCTCAGCAATTCCCCCAGGATCTGCTGGCAGTGCCCAGAATTTATGGTGCCTTCAGCTGAGCTCAAAGAGGGAGAGATAGTGTGGTTCACTTTGATATTTAATTGATTTTAAAATTGGAGATGCTGAATCAGAGTAATCACAGAATCTGCTGAATTTATTTTTTCCTGGGAGGCAAAAAAAAAGGAGGAGAAAGCCCAAAGAGCCATCACAGCAGCAGACAAATAGAGGGCCTGCAGAGAACTTCATGGGCAGCTGCAAATTTCCTTTCTCCAAAAGCCATGACATGCATGGAGAATTTCCTGGATAAAATGTTGAAGGAAGAAAATTCATCATTGCTATGACTGACCACTTTTAAAAATAATTTTGCATCATTTATCTGAGAATACATTTGTTGTTCCACCAAAACCTGAACAATTTGCTTTACTAGAAACAGAGCTGGGGTATCCAAGAACTGGGAGAAAGAAAATCAAAACAAAACAAGAAAACCCCCCAAAACCAAAAGGGGGAGTATTATGAACTATGTTTTATCATTTGTTTTGGATTAGCATTTTTATGTATAGTTGGGAGAATCAGGGGGTTCCTGAGGCTCAAGGACTTAAACATCAATTTTTGCTATATAGGAAACAACCCCAAACAAATAAAACCCCAGGTAAACGCAGGAGACAGGCTCCAAGTTATTTTCTTGTTTCTGTAACTGATTTGTTGTCTGCAGTCTCTCTGCCTCAGTGTCTCACCTCCAAAATCCTTCATCTTAGAGAAGGATTGCAAATCCTTAGAGTAACTGATACTCACATTTAAGCCACCCATCAAAGGCACACAGAAACACCAAGGAAAGCCTGGATTTGAAACAAAAATCTACTTCTATCAGCAAACAAGGAGATGATATTTTTGTTGACCTTTCTAAAAGTGTCTTGGCTTTCTCACACTGCCCCTAGATGTCTTTCTCCAGCTATTCACACATTTCATATGACTTTGGCAATCCTCTGAAAACTCTGTCTCAGCAGATGATCAGTAGAGCAGGACATGACAGATTGTGTATGAAGGCAAAGAAAGACAGAAAGCAAAGTTTATTTAGTTTGAAAGGGATAGAGAGAAGACTCTTCACTACTTTAAAGGAGTAGAAGTAACTGTAAGAATTAGATTAGATTAGATTAATAGTGACATTTTTGAAGAGTATTTCTTGTGACTATATCACAATTTCTGTACAGGTTTTTGTTCACTCTTTTTTCTCCCCTGGCAGAATAAAACATTGAACAGTGTTTCTATAAAGTCCTATCTAATGCCACATACAGACAGCCCATGAAAGACCCTCAAACATGGGTAAGATGTGTAGGCACCAGGAAAGCAAGAAAGATAGGAGACAAAGTTGTAAAAATTGCTTAAGGAAGGAGACAGGAATGTCTCTTAGAGCCCTGAATTCTCCCAGAGCAGAAAACTAAATCTCCTACAGACAAGCTCAAGATTTGCAAATGACACCACTGTGGCAAGAACAGCAGAAACGATTTTGTGAAGGTATTT